ACATGATATAATATAAACAGTGATGTAATATATACAATGGTGTCACAGGATGGCATGATGAGATAGTGACTATATGAAATACATTTCCTGGAAAGGAAATGTTTCTTCTATATAACCACGCAGTAGTATACTGATGCTACAATATCTCTGTGCAGTTTAGGTCTCGTGACCTAACAATTGTCATAAACTACTCCGATGTTATTATATGTTCTAGCAATATCAGGGTGATTTGGTGGAAGGGAAATCAATCTAATTTTAAGAGATGTTTCATAATATTTGAGTGCTTTCTCATAATCACCTTGATGGCGGTAGACCACTCCGATGTTATTATATGTTGTTGCAATATCAGGGTGATTTGGTGGAAGTGAAACCAAATAGATCTCAAGAGATTTTTCATAAGATTTCAATGCTTTTTCATAATCACCTTGATTGTCATAAACCAGTCCGACGTTATTATATGTTGTTGCAATATCAGGGTGATTTGGTGGAAGTGAAACCAAATAGATCTCAAGAGACTTTTCATAAGATTTCAATGCTTTCTCATAATCACCTTGATTCTTGTAAACTGTTCCGAGGTTATTAAGTGCTAATGCATGAGCACTTTGATCTAGCGAGGTGTCAGCGAGCAACATTTGGAAATATTGCTGTGCTCTGCTATTTTCACCCATTTTGATCAGCAGCATACCCAGGGTGTTCAAGTTATTCGATTCACCAAGTTCACGCGTCATATGGTTTGTCAACACGCTTAACTCTATGTCTTCGTCTCCATTCAGTTCTAATTTAACATTCCAAACATCTTCTTTCTTCAGCTTCTTTATGGAGACAATCCGAAACACGGTGCCCATCGAAAATAAAATTCCATTTTCTGCACTAAAGTCACTCACTGTGTCTATATTTGAGAATGGTTGTCTACATTTCTCGGTGTCAACCACCATTTCAAACAAAACTGGCATAGTATTTGATCTTCCTAATGAGCTGCGAGCAAAGCGCGGTGCAACGGCTTCTTGAACACTTGTTGACAAGAAGCTGTTCATCGACAAAAGTCCTCCTACTTTGTTTTGTAAACTTTCGAACTCCTTGTTGGGTATCCCTAGTCCACGATAAACAGTGATCGTTCTTCCGAGACGAGTAGTCGATGAGATTTGCAGATTGCGAAGCTCCTCGTGAAGGTCTTGGATGAAAAAGCCGAGCTTGAATAACATGTCAATGTCTTGTGTTCGTAATGCTTTATTTAGCATTCGGTAGAGAAAACATTCTTTCGTGTACCACTCTATTGCTTGCTCTTTCGAATACGCTTTATGAAATTGGTGGATGGCATTTACTTCTTTGTTATTGCCTGCATAGACCATTCGACACAAATCAATCAGTTCTTGTTTTGTTGAGTCTTTGTGAGCGAAGTGAGTTAAAATATTGACAAGTAATTGGAAATACATGAATGATGCTTCTTGTTTGTTTATTTCTTTACCATTCGTGTTCGGTGACACAGCTGTCATAGACACAAGATTATTGGAGCTAACTGCCACATCTTTCGTTAGTTGATCACAGATATCATCGATGTTCGTCGAAACAGCACATACTTTCTGGTAGCGTTTAGCCCACTCTTCGTGTTTCGCTTTATTGAAGCAAAACACGTAAATTGCTTCTGTTTGTGGTTTGTCATGAATCAGTGGCACAACAGATTCGCCTAACGAGCCAGATATGATAAAGTATATTTTCTCTGATTCAAGTGACACTATGTGATCGATACACTTTTGCTTATCCTCGAAAGTTTCAAAGTGATTTATTGCTTGACGCAGACGAACTTTTGCACTCAAATTATCGTTTGTAGAACTAACGTTTAAGTCAAGCCAAATGATGGTGTTCACTTCCAAATTTCGTCGCTGTTGAGCGCAGCTTTTCTGATTAGAGACGCTTTGAATACGTGCAGCATCAGCAGTGGAGATTGATACCGACTTTGGAATTTTCTTACTCATTGTTTGCTAGCTGTCTGTTTATTGATGTTGATCCTTCAAACAAGTATCGTTCATCTTCGATTCACTGACCCTTGACTGAAAATGGGTTTTTAGCGATGATTTGGTGTTAGTATGCGCTTAGCTTTTTAAAGGGATGGAGAAACAGGAAATTTTTGTTTATTTATGTGTATGATCGCATTAGATCCAATGACATATGACGTGTTGAAGGGCATATTTCCTAGGATTTGATCGTTAACATTACGAGGCGTTTACTCATTTTATTTAAACAGGACACGGAAAAGTAGAAGAAAAACAGTAACTGAACTGAAAAACATCTAAAGTGAACTCTATAATAAGAATGTTTACTATTTACACTCGAGATTCAAAACGTCTTTTTGTTACTTTATCCAGTTGATCAAGTCTGTCAAGTTCTTCTAGAAGATCTTGATTTGGATTGGGTGTTATCTATACAGTACTGGTTGTTCACGGTATCGTCACGGGTTTTTGTCTTTTCCACTATCTCGTGCGCCCANAGTACAGTGTTTCGTAATCACAAGAACTCCTTTGTTTTTTATTTTTCGGCAAAAGCTGGAACTAATCGGAATACTGTTTTGAATAGCCCAAAGATTTTTCTATCAAATGAGGTGTATATCGCCATTTCCTGAGAAAAGCTGATAATAGGGGAAATCGGACGATAAAACTGCGGAAAAATGTAAATCGCTTTTGTTAAACTGGTGGTGACTCACTGGTCACTGTATGTATGTACATCCGTCACACTCACTGGTCACTGTATGTATGTACGTCCGTCACATTGACCGGTCACTATATGTATGTACGTCCGTCACACTGTCACATGACTATATGTATGTACGTCCGTCACAAGCGGACGCCGACATTTATTTCATATGACCCTAGACTTTCAGTCAAGGGAACAAAGATAAGTGATACTTAGTTGTCGATCAATGGTGCTTATGCGATATCCAAATTTTTTTCTACTGCTCCACCTTCAAATTATTTATCAAACACTCCTAATGTCGGTGTCATCATGCTTTAAGTTAACGTGCTTTTAATCAGAAAATTGATCACTGACCTCTATGCCTTAATTTCATATGTAGAATCCTATTATTAGTCACACAAAATCATGGATACACGTTCTATTTCCTTTTTAGGAATGATACTTTACGAAAAAAAGTATTTGAAAAAACTAACTTTACTGTTTTTTCTTTTTTTCCTTGGTAATACAAGACTCATGAGTTATTCGTTTTGTATTACCGAAAACGTTTTTGGCAGATTTTCTGAAGGGTTTCTAGAAGAGCGATATTGACTGTCATCCATGTGATGGATATTCGGATTAGGAGTGTTCATTTAGTGTTGGTCTTCCATTATCCTAAAGGATAAATATGAATATCCTCAATATTTAAAAAATAAATATAAATAAACGAAGAAAAATATATTATTTGAAAAATAAACGTAAATGGATGGATCCTTTATTTTTTAAAATAAAGACAAGGGACACAAAATGATCCATTTACCTTTTCTTTCCAGATAATAAATGTTTTTTCGTTTATTTATATTTATTTTTCCAATATAGAGGATCAGTTCATATTTATCCTTTAGCACAAAGGAAGACTAACACTAAATGAACACTTTTAATCCCAGTGTTAAATTTCAATGGCGGTTTATTTGTAATGCAGCGTATCGAATCCGCTCCGCGTCAAATTGTACTTTAACCTCAAATCATGAATACTTGTTGTCTGCTAACCCCTGGCACCATCGGTCTCTTGTTCAACAGCGGCATCGTCGATGCTAACTGTGAGTTTTGTTAGAGAGTGAATTCATAAGTCGGTCGTCGTTTTGTCGAATCTAGGACAAGGTGAAAGTGTTGGCATGGACTATTGTGACAAACCTCACTTGCAAGATCTCGTCGTTGCGTGTACCGCTAGAAATGTGCTGAAAACCATTCGTTTTCCATACCCCGTCCACAAAATACCAGACTTTGCCAACGTGGGCGTAACTGGTCTGGACGTGGGGTTGCTTCGTCTCTCAAATGCGTCAGATCATTTTCAACGTTTCTCTTTTTTGCTGTGAACTCATCATAGTGGAATTTAATGGTGTTTCTCACTGTACTTGCTGAAGTTTTGATCGTGGGACTTGACTCACGGTGGAGGCTGAAGATGTGGACAGCCAACCTCAGGGAGTTTTACAAATAACCAGAGACCAATGGTACAAGAAAATGGGCAGGTTCAAAATAGGCCAATTCTAATTGACCAATGGACAAGATATGACAATGTACAACGACAGAATAGTCGACCTTATCGACCGTTCGTGCCAAGAAATAACGATCAAACATATGAAAGTAATTTTAATGAGGGACTGTGACAGCAACGGCACCAGCACTTCGTCCGGTTTAATGATCCATATTTCAATGGATCTGTCAACCGACAAGGCGGTGCTGTTCTAACACCACATCAACGACAGCGACGCACTCGTTCAAATCGAGCGAGGCGCGATCGCGAAGAGCGAGCAGCTAACCAATTAAGTAATCAAGCCGATGCTCTACCAGTCGACAACCGTTTTGCCTGTTTTCTCGACCAAGACGAGAATGACGAAATACCGCTTGACGAATGCACAGCGGCTACAACATCGACTGCAAAAAGTAATAAAAAGGCAGTACCAAAAAAACAAAAAAATAAAAAGGCAGAAGCACAAGCAAAGAAACCAGTCTCATTAGTTTCAAACGATGACACCAGTGCTCTAGATTCCGAGCAAAAACCTAAAGAATATAGAGATCGGCCTTATCTGAGGACAGATCATATTCGACGGTATTCGTACAGTCTATCTAAACCCACTGACATCGGTCCGACAGCTCGACATATAAACCGTTTTGCCACTATTTCAGCACCAGTATACGATGCCTGGATCCGAGACAATTATGAATACCAAGTAGTTGAGAAACTCTTGGAAATAGGCATGGAAGATAAACACTGGGCGCACGAGATAGTGGAAAAGACAAAAACCCGTGACGATACCGTGAACAACCAGTACTGTATAGATAAAATATCTCAGCTTCAAAGAGCTATTTCAAATCACGGGAATGCAGTGACGAAACTGCAGAGTGAATTAATAGCATTTGTACCATATTATCATGATGCTCCAGGTACCAATAATAATAACGGTACCGTGGCAGCACATGATCTTGTTGCACAAACTGCTCGTAAACCCAAACTACATATAAGGGCTGCAGATAATATAACACAGAAATATCTGAAGATACATACCAAAAAGTTTGCAGAAATTTGTGCTAATCGTGTAAATACAGCGTTTGCTGAACTCAAAGAGTTTAAACCAATTTAAACTGAAGGTTCTTCTCTTGAAAGTTCTTCCGAGACTTTGGAATGAGAGCAAGCATAGTGAAAAACGTTTGATCATTCCGCTAGCGAACGTAGCGTTTCATCGCGCACCAGAGCCCCTCAATAGGGTTAAGTTCACAGTGATATTTTGGCCTAAAAATGAGTCTGACGTGATATTTCGAAGCCAATTCTTCTAGTCGGCTAGCATTCTGAAACGCCGAATGTGCCGTCAGTAAGTTTCGCAGTTCGTCGAGCTTGATTCTGTCAACACTAGCTTGACTCTTTGGCCAACACTAGCAGGTTCTTTAATTTTCTCTTGTCACCAGCAGTAAAGAAGCACGAAATCGATTGCATTTGACCGCCTGCGTCGAGAAATTCAATCTCATCCACTGGACACCGAGTGCCGACATTCTTGCCGAAGTCGTTCAGACTGCACTCCTTGGCCGAATGAGTTCTCGCATTATCGACGGCTACTTCGACGTCATGTCCGACAAATTAGCTCTTGAAAGGCACTAGCTGGAAGAGGTGTTCGAATTGTTCAAATTTTACGCAGAAAAACGCATACAAAAACCTAAGTGAAGTAACGCAAAATATGGTTACACGAGCGAAATAAATACAGTTTTTTGTGTAAACAAAATTTTGCGTAATTTTGCAAAAAAACTTTTTGCGTTATAACGCATGCGGAATTTTCTGCCGTATTTTGCAAAAAAATGTTTTACGTTACAACGCAAGAATGCAGCTGGTGTGTTTCCAAGACAACGCCAATGTCGCCAAAACCAAAAAACTTTTTTCAAATTTTACGCAGAAAAACGCATGCAAAAACTTAAGTGAAGTAATGCAAAATATGGTTACACGAGCAAAATAAATACAATATTTTGTGTAAAGAAAATTTTGCGTAATTCTGCAAGAGCGAACTGTTTGCGTTACAACGCATGCAGGATTTTCTCCCGTATTTTACAAAAAAGTTCTTTATGTTACAACGCATGCAGAATTTTCTGCTGTATTTTGCAAGAAAACGTTTTTGCGTTGCAACGTAGGAATGCAGTCGGTGTGTATTCTGAAACCATTATCACGGGCAGAGCCATCGAACCCGCCCATAAGCAACCCTCGCGGTCTATAAGACCCCGCTGACTAGCCCACCCTAACCTTCACCAGTCTCCTCCAAGCTACGAGGAGCAACTTAGAAAAATTTTTCTAAGTTACTCCATAGTGGAAAAGCCACCATTGATATAGATATAAGGCTGCACAAATTCCGCTTTTTCAAGTTATACACTAAATATGATGACTCATCGATGAGTCATCATATTTCACCCACCCAAAAAGCGCACTTTTCTGCAGAAATCGTGA